TTTTTTTTTTTTTTTTTTTTTTTTTTGCGTCCCTTTTAGCTCCTCGTCGTGATGCGCCCCTTCTTTCCTTGGTGTTCCTTGTTTTTCCTCTGGTTTCCTTCCGGTTTCGAACGTTTTCCGGACCTCAGTTCTCGCTGGTGCTTACCTGCGTTCTTGGTCATAGCTTCAAAAGCTAAACCTATCCCTTTCTGGGGTAACCCAGACAATGCTGCGACACGCCCATGGTCAGGAACCCCCCTACTCCAAATACCCAGTGTTTCTACGGTGTTTTGTGAAAAACCTGGGTTTCCATGGTAAATACCTTCTTTCTTAGTAGAGGGTCGACATCATACCCTAAAAACAGAGGGCATTTGGGGTAGGGGAAGGTCTTTTTCCCGCTCCTTTTTGTCTGTCTTCCTGGACCTCCGATTTTGCATCTCTCAGGTCTGGAGCGTGGCACGATGGTGGGGTACAGCCGGGAGCTGTGCCGGGCAACGGGCTCCTGGTGTCGAACCCCCACAATGGGGGGGGGGGTCTTAAAATGAGGGACCTCTTAGGTTGAAGGGAAGCCAGAAGGACAGCAACCGCGGGTGTTTGGCTTCTAAAGTTCCCTTCCTCGTCCCAAAGAATGGAACCCTGACACCCAGTTACTTGCTGGAGCTCAGCAGGGAATGAGGAATGACCCTTATAACCCATCCCCGGTGGTTTCATTCCAGGCAACCCCGCAACGGTTAATCCCCACGTTCTCTACTGAGCACCAGCGAGTTTTTCGCGTTCGTCTTGCCTTCCGCTCTCCTTCAATTTTCCTCGTGCCGCCTCTTGCTTTGTTTTTGGAGGCTCCTTTTCACGGTCGGGGGTGCCACGGCAGACCTAGCTTGTCGAACCAGTTACCCATAGACGAAGCAGTGAAATGAGCGGAACCCCTTTTCAGGCAGCCCGTCCAAATCAGAGTTCTGGAGCCTCCACGAAAAGGATGAAGAGACCCTTTGGTTTGGTAGAGGACTCCGTTTGGGAAGGCGCAGAAGGAGATTTGAGCTGGTTACCCCTGTGTTGGTGTTTTCAAAGAACACCTCTTCCTTTTTTATTACGCCTATTTTGGTGGTTTCAAAGAACAAAAACAGAAGGCACACCACCTCTTCCTTCGGAAGGGGGTCCCCCACAAAAAGACACCGGGAATCCGCCCGAGGCCCGGCGCCCGGGTTCCGGAGCCCCGAGCTGCGAGGCGCGGCGGCCATTCTCCGCGCGGCTTCGGAGGTTCGGGGCCATGTCCGAGGAAAGCCTCCGGGGAAAAAAATGTGGAGTCGACATCTGGGACATGGAGCCGCACAAATGGTCTTCCAGAAAGTCCATGTCCACGTTGGG